AATGCTTTCAGAAAAGCATCTAAGAATTTTTTCACTAATTGGTTTTTAGAAGTTTAGAAGTCACAGATGGTGGTAACCGTCATTAAGTCACTCAGGCTGATTTATCAGTGGATAAGCATTAAGGACAAATTAACCTCTCTAGAGACCAGGGTATCATCTAATTAACAATTAACCACTTCCTAAAACTGGGAGAACTGAATTGAGAATGCAAAGAAGTAAAAACTGGGGTAGCAGGGGAAGAAGCTAAGCAGTTCGAAGCAAATGAGTGTCTCAGTGGAGATGTTTGCATCTGAAGGTATTGGATACTGTTACCAATTTTCTATCCTGATTCCTTTGTATTATGATGAAATATTTTTCTGTTAAATAGCAATGACTTTTCATATTTTCTCCTAATTTTTCTGAATGAAATCATTCATATATAGATAGTGGAGGAGGAGGCAGTGACCATTTGATTTTACAACACACAGTGACATTCATTTATTCATCCATACTCACAACCCCCCTGAACATGTCACCTCATGTAGGAATGACCAAGGGCAAGCTGAGCCTGGAGCAGGTAATTTAACAAACAGATGCTGCTTGGCTTCTCAAAGCCTCTGAAGATCATTTTAAAAACTTTGCCTCTGCCTCCCCGAACACTACATGTCAGAAAAACCTCTAATTGTATTTTAAGGTGGCCTGAGCCATGGACAAAATCCAAATCTGTTCTCATTCCGCATTGGTGGCATTTATAATATGATTTCGAAGGACTTTCCCAACATGACATAATTTATTATCATAATAACCCCCTGAGATGTTATTAGCCCAACTTTATACATGAAGAAAGAGAGGCTCTAAGCATTAATCACACCAGTACTGAGCTAGAGGAAAGGCTGGGAATTTAGATCCTCTAAGTTTCAATCCTGTAGTTACTTCCACTGCTTCATGCCACAGAGTTTATTGATAGATTAATTCCATGCCAAAGTATTTGGCCTAAGGGTCATGTACCAGTGGACCTCTGCAGATTAATCTTGCTCAACAGCCGTGCAGGTGAATGGAAAATTATCCCTGCAGAAGGAAATGCTGAGTGGTGGGAGGCTGCAGCTGATGGTAATTCCCACCTTGGTGTCCGCTTAGGCCTCTTTATCACATAAACTGCACCCCTCTCCTCCTCACAAATCCACATTCATCGCTTGTTCTTCGGGTTTAAGCAAATGCCCTCCCTTAAAGAATTCCATTCACAACTTGAGCCACTTTCACTATTCCTTTGCTCCACATCCCCTCAGCTTAATTTTAATAGCTTATGGATATTCCAGAGTGTACTTATTCCCAGATCCTCGGGAATTTTTCTCCAGGAGTCACGTATCTATGTTTGAGCTCCCAGCTAGGCTTCACTAAGAAGATCTCTTTTCCCTATTTCAGAATCCTCCCCACCTTTTCTCTACTCTTGCCTTTCTTCCACTGCCTAGTATATAGCTATGCATTCAACAAATGCCTACTGAGTGAGTAAGAACCTACATTGAAAGCCCAGCTTGATTAGTAATTAGGAGGTTGGAGTCCCAGGTTTACAACCAAGTAACTGTGTTAATGCAGGCAACTCTGTGGGTGTCAGTTTTCACATTGTAACATGGTTATGGGGACAGGAAGTGGTGAACTATTTGAGCTCTAGGCTCTCTGAGATGCTATAAATATTTAAATATTATTTTGATTGGGCCGATCACAGCCTTACTTTATTTCACTAAAGATGAGAAAGGAGATGAATGAGAATTTCAAAGAGAAGAATGTTAAAAACAAGACAAATACAGAGACCAAATATCTCAACACCTAACAGGCAGACGAAAGTCAATATATCTGAAAAAATTGATAAAGCAAAGGAGAATCAGAGAGAGAAGAGGTGTCCTGGGCAAGGCTAGAAATGGGGCTCCTGCCAGGAGGGATGTACAGGGGTCAGAGGGCAGCATGTAAATGGGGGCAGCTTAACAACTAGAAAACTGCATTAGTGGTTGGGCATGGGTGGCCTTTTTTAAATTTGCTATTCTGTTTGCTATTCAAGCTTGAAATCAAATGTTAAGAATGTCATCATTGAGACCATTTATATCATGGAGAAGAAAATAAGATGCATAATAACAACTTCCTTGTAGAAATAAAAACAGAAGTTCCTGTTATTAAAATAGGGATTAATACTATCAACATTTGACCATTGGAAACATATCTTCCCAACTTTTTCTTCCTTTTTTTTTTTGTTGGGGGGGTGGGAAGATGACAATTTTAATCAGGATACATTTCCCGAGTAAGTTTAATTTTACTAAAGATTTTAATAATTCAAGTAATACTGCACCAGTTTCATTAAAATTAGGTTTTAGCTCACAGGTCATGTAATAGATAAAAACGATGTCATGAGGAGGTCTATCTATGCCTTCACTAAGCAGCTCCCTCAGACAGGATGAACTTTTGGACGGCAGTGAACTGAAGTGTCCAGTGTGGTGTTAGGGGCTAGCATTCATCTGAGGAGCTAAAGGAAAAGAAAGCCAAGTTCAGCTGGAAATTTTAAGAAAAAGAATGGGACCTCTTTAGAAAAGAAAATCTCTGAAATTAAAAAATAATACTTAAAGCAAGTAACAGTTCTTAGATTATCGGATATAAAAGTTTTCAGCTGATATCCAAACCTGAAGTAACACGTTAACAGATTAAATCAATAGGAGCACATGCTTGAGAAAGGCCAGAAAAAATTCCATTTAACAATGAGCAAAAAATTTAAAAAGGATTTGATTTTTAAGAGCCATTATTAGACATCTCCTGATGAAATCTTTGATAACAAAACTACAGAGAAGAAACTTACTGTTAATCCATGTTATATAACTTAGAATCTAGTTTGCCCTTTATCTTCTACCAAAGAAAAGGGTCTAAATTTGACCCAAATCTAAACAGAAATTTCTGCAGGGAGTAAAAAATTACGTGTGTGTGTGCGTGTGTATTAAAGACGAACATACCTGCTTCATCATAGGATACCGTCAATTTTTCTAGCATTTCTCGGTCAATGGATAGAATCTGCTGTTCAAGGATGGTCTGGTAAGACAGTACACTATTTTCTTTGTCTTTCTCGTAGTCTTGAAGATGCTGTTTAAGGGCCTCTGGGAGTCGAGATTTTACATATTCAGCTGCTGTCTGCAGATAAAAGAAGTAGAGAATCCCATTAGTATTTCTCATCTTGGGCTTTTCCCTGCCCCTCAGGTGCTGTAGTGAGAACTCAAAGCACCGTGGATCCACACCTTTAGACGAGCATGCCCTTGTCACTGCTATTTGTAGACCCCACTCTACCAAGTAAGGGGGATCTTCAAGTACGTAGAATCACAGGCCTCTGAGGGTTTTCTACCAGGTTTAAAAGGTATAAGAGATGATGGATTGGCACTCATGGAGTTAGAACTCAGCATTTCAACTATTCCATGGAACCTGGAAGGCCCTGCAATAGTCATCTTGCTGGGATATGAATCTGGCTCATCCTTGTCTAGAATGCAGAAGCTAGTAATCGTCTCAGCAGCAAGCGCTCCTGTGCTGTGGCATCCACACCTCTGCTTTGTTGTTCTTGACTCATGAATGCGTATGCAGGAACTCTCTGAAGTGGATAAAAAGGAAAGCCCTCCACTAGGGCTGATGATGGGATAGTGGGAGAAACAGAAAACGAAGAAATCTAAGACAATGATGCCCCTTAACGTGAAAAAAGAACTGTTTGCCACTCAAGTGTTCATCCCTTGTCTTGGCCTTTATATATATTATTCTGAACTTTTTTTCCCCTCCGCTTCTACACTATCTGCACAATGTACTCCCTGCTAGTAACATCTGAAATTACATGCAGTGACTTTCAACCAGGTAAGCATGCCTCCCTTGGAGGCAGAAAGGAAGGCAGGCATCTGTACTTTGAAAAAGACCTTGCCAAAGATTCTGGTACATTCTTCTGGTAAACTAGGCCCATGGCACTCTCCTCTCTTCCAGTTGAGAATCCCAGAGAAATAGAACTTTAAGGGACAAATTAAGTGATAGAGAGGCATGTATGACTCAGGCGAATCGAAATTCTTAAAAAAGCGTATCTCTTGAGAATGCCAAGAGTCTGGCACCTCCTTGCAGTGCAGTCCTGCCTCGTATGTATAGGGTCTAAAGTTGACAACGTAAATGAAAGCATACATGTATCATTTAAAATTATACTCACATCACTAGAAAACTGACAGAAGAGAAACTGTTAAACAGGACTGTCTCTGGGATGTGGGCCTAGAATAAGGCAAAGACACATCTACATAGCGCAATATTAAAAAAAAATTTCTGTAATTTAAAATATTATCTTAAAAATGTTATTTTTTGTAACCTTCATAGTTTTCCTTCTAAATGTTAGCACAATTTAGGATGAAAAGAAACTTGCCAGAACAATGACCACCGACTTTTCAGGAAAACTCGACTGGGAAGTGGTGGGAATTTCTGTCTTCAGAGCAACCAAGTATAGCACACAACACTTTTAATTTCCAGATTTATATTTAGATCCCCTAAGTTGGTTGCTGATGAAATTACAGCTTAAAAATATCACCAAACACGATTCATTTTCTCTGCCAGCCAGCCAGTGCAGAACAAATAAAGTTATTCCATTAAAGTAAATGGACTCAGCACATTAGCACAACATATTTAATTCTAAAGTTTAATAACAATTTTCTCCTGACAATGCAAAATGCAGAGACACACTGCCAAATAACTATTTTAAAACTCATACTACCTCACTATTCAGTGTAACATCTGTCTTTAATTTTTTTCCTTGGAAATATCTCTGAGGTACAGGGATCAATTCCACAATGCACATTTTACAAATATTGGTATTCTCTGTATGACTGAAAGCATACCACACATTTGCTTCTCATTGTGTCCACTGATTTACTCTTCTAATTAAAATCATAATGTAGGTCTTTGAGTAGAGACTATATCCTTTACTATATTGGAGTTAAATTTTGGCATTTCATTTCTAAAACAATAACTGCACGTACAGTCAGCCCCCTGTATCTGCGGATTCCACTCTGTGGGTTCAGCCACCTGCAGACTGAAAATACCCGGAAAGAAACCCTGCCCGCCTGTCCAGGCGGGCGCCCTCAGCCAGCACCAGAGCCCCTCCCAGGTGGCCCCCGCCTTGCCAGTCCAGTCGGCTCCCTTGTCAGGCAATGGCATCCCTGCGAAGCACCTCCTGCCCCAGCGGCCAGCCCTGCAAACCAGAGCGCCTGCAATAGTTACAGCCGGGCCGTACAACCAGCTTCACTGGGGGTCAGCCCTGCAAACTAGCATGCCCACAGCAAGTGTGGCCCAGCTACAGCAGGAGGGCCATCTTCTTACAGCATATATAAAACTAAACTCAAAACGGATTAGACTTGAACGTAAGACCTGAAACCATTAGACTCCTAGAAGAAAATATAGTCAGTGTGCTCTTTGACATTGATCTTAGCAATATATTTTGGCTCTGTCCCCTTAGGAAAGGGAAACAAAAGCAAAAATAAACAAGCGGGACTACATCAAACTAAAAAGCTTTTGCACAGTAAAGGAAACCATCAACAAAACAAAAAGGCAACCTACTGCATGGGAGAAGACATTTGCAAATAATGTATCTGGTAAGAGGCTTTTATTATCTAAATTATACAAAGAAGTCATACAGTTTTATTTTTTAAAATCCACTTAAAAAATGGGTAGAACTCTGAGTAGACATTTCTCCAAAGAAAATCAACAAACACATGAAAACATGCTCAACATCACTGATCATTGGGGAAATGCAGACCAGAACCACAATGAGGTTATCACCTCACACCTGTCAGAACTGCTATCAAACAGACAACAAATAACAAGTGTTGGCCAGGATGTGGACTAAAAGGAACCCATCTACGCTGTTGGTGGGAATTACTGCACAAGTAATAGATAATACAAAGAGCAATTTAAATTTTAAAATTTCACTGGCACTCTAAAAATGAGGTGAAAAAATAAAATATAGGATTACTTATCTAGTCTTTAATCAGTGATAAAGCGCTACTAGAAGTTTAAGTCCCAAATGGCACATTCTTATAAACGGACTATTCCAGAAACAGTAATATTGTCAGACCATTATCAGTGTCTTGCATTTGTGCTGTGCTTTATACTTTCCTGAGCATTTAGGCTGTTACCATTCTGCATTTTCACAATAGCTTTGAGTGAAAGAAGCAAATTATGTGTTTGGCCAGTCCTGCACATCCTTCAAAGTTGGCTCAAATGCTATAAACTCTATCAGTGAACCCACTTCATAGCAGCCAACAGTCTTTTAAGCATTTATGGAGGTATAGGTATTTTAGCTCTCCAATCTGGCTGAAGTGAAGCCTGTATCTTACACATTCTCGTGTTTCCCCAGCATCCAGCTCAGTGCTTGGCACCATAGAAGCTTACTATCTTCACTGTATCCAAGAATTGGGGGCTCTGAGATAGCCTTTGGAGAAAACTTTGTGTCAGCTCATAATTCTTTGCCTGTAATCAGAACTTCCTTTCATGTTCTACATGGAACATAAGAGTCTGGTTTTCTCCCAGCAAATGGAACTATATTTGGTCTTTAATTACCACTGATGTCATTATTTTAGGAAGTAAACAGCTGAAACCCAAGTCATCATTTACATGCCAAAATGGTAAATTACATACTTCACATACAAGGCTGTATATGAAGCTTTATTTAACAACTTCCTCTCCATAATTGTTTAATCTTCTCCATTTTTGCCTCTATTTCTTCATTTGGCAATGGACCCAATTCCGCTAGGGACCCTCTGAGCAGTCATGTCTGAGTGTCTCAGAAGTGTGCCCTGAGTTAAAGATTGCCTTGTGGGATGTTAACTCCACCGGGACGTTCAGGTTTTTTGCTTGTCTGAACTGCTGAGTAGGTTCCCAAACACACCCCAGATAGTGGCAGAGAAGCCCCAGAGAAGAAAGTGGAAGATACAGGCTCATAGGTTCCTCTGGTTACACCTGAGAAGGTGATTAACAGCTGGAATACAAAGATGAGCTATGAGGTAGGGCACGAAAGGTGCCAAAGCACCTTCCTACAGAATGTGCATTTATTTATATTACCCATGCCAACTTCAGTCTGGATGACAGTAAAGGGCAGTAAGCCCTGTAAAAAGGACTCGGTGGATGACAGGATAAAAGCAGCAGGATGATTAAGGCTATAAATTCCGAGTACTGAGTAGGTAGGATGCTGATAATGGTAATTATGCTAAAACATTATTTACTATAACAGTTGCGTGTTCTTTAAGAAATAACCAATGTATATGTAAGAATTTGACAGGGGGAAGGGGGAGTGCAAAAAAAACTGTATTTTTAAAGCTGCTAAATGCTTCACAATTCATCTTAAAAAGGAAACCCGTCAGCCAGCCAATTCCAATTTATTGAATGTCTGCTGAGTAAAGCACATTAGATTGGACACTGTTGGGGGAACAAACGTCTGCCATAAACCTATGTGCAGTTTTCACACACAAACACGCACAGGTGAAACACTAGAAAAACGCATTTTACAAACCAATACAAACATAGACATGAATCTTGAGATGAATTAACATTTATTTAATATATGAACTTAAGTACATGCTGAGTGGCCTCTAGGGAGAGAAATTAAAGAGAGGGCACAAGAAAAAAAAATGAAGAAATCATTCCAGTGGAGTTTAAAGATCAGTTTTCAAGTAAGAAGTACTGGCTGGAGGAAAGAAAAGCAATCTAGAAAGTAGTACATGTGAGTTCACGGGGAGAAATAATTAAAAAAAAAGTTGATGAAACGAAGCATGTGAGAGAGCTGGCACTTGGAGAAGTCTTAACTCCCTGTTCAACCAGGGCGTTTTGATTTGTAGCACTTAGTAACAGGAAACGACTGAAACATCAAAAAGCGTGAAAGACGTTATCCAATCTTATCTGAAGAAGAATGTGCTTGGAGCTAAATTTAAAATGC